TAAAGTAAGACCAAGTATAGTTAACAGACTTATAGGATAGTCATATTTCTAGAAACCAGAGAGATATGTGTAATCAGTAAGTTGAATTTTCAGAAAAAACAGAACACCGAAGAATTACCCGTGGAGATAGACAATAGACGAGCATTAATAGGCTCCTTTAGATCCATACACCAATCTGGAAATTTACCCTCTCTTACCTCCAAATTTAGTCTTTTTCTTTCCAAGTTTTCCTTTAATTCGCTTTGATGGATAGCCAACTCCCTAAGGATATCATGTTGAGTGACTAAGAACTCATTGTAGAAACCGTCTTCTTGCTCATTTCTGCTAACAAAGCAAATAATATAAGTTCCTCGAACAACAGATGACAAGAAGGTGCAAAGACACGACGTTGTCACAGAAACAACATACCTGAGACGAACAAGTTTAAGCAGATTCTGAGAGGCAAGGTCTTCAAGGTACTTCATGCACATGGTACTACTACCTTTACCATATAATTCCACCCATATGTCAATTATTACTGAAGCACGTATCTTTTGGTCCTCAAGAAACGAGCCCATGTCCAAGAAACACTCTTTGAGATTGGATTCTAGGGCATTGAAGCTAGGTTGCAGACATTCTAGCACAGTAGGATGATGATTATCAAGAATTTTCTCCCCTTCGGACCAGCTTTCCACTTGGCCTTTCCATGTATTTAGAGATCGTCCTTTAAGTGAACCGCCTACTACTTCAATTACGATTGGGAATCCATTGCATCGTTTCAATATCTGCAATCCCCAACATGTGAACAAAAAAAATGAATCTATTGTTTCCACAAACAAGACAACTAAAGCTTTAAAACTTGAAGGTATAAATCCAAGCCCACACAGAACTGTTAGATCACAAATGTAATAGGTTCATAGAGATGAATGAAACTACCACCTTTTGGAGAAGATCTTCATATTCAGTTTCAGACACATTATAAGGCCTCGATGCCCACTGAATGAGAAGGGCTCTGGCATCTTCATCTTCCAAAGGTTTCAACTGATAATTGGAACCAAAGCTCGGAAAGTCGAACCGAGAAGTCACCAAAATCTTATAACCTGGTAAGTTAATTCGGAATTTCTCAAGAAAGGGCTCTGATCCCCGCCACACATCATCCAACACCAACAATATAGGACCCTTAAGTTCCTCCAACAGTTTTCTCAAGCCAACAACCGCTTGAGAATCGTTCTCAAATGTAAGTTCTTGGTAACCGTTGTGTTGGAGTAAATTTTGTACTATAACCCTAAAGTTAGGAGTACTTGAAACAACATAAAAGAATATATGCTCGAATTTTCCTGCCAATGGAAACATGCATGAGAAACAAGAACTACAATTCAAGTGGTAAAACTCGAAACTTTAACACTTAATACATATACATATACCTTTGATTTTTGGATCGTGGCAAAGTTGAGTAACAAGCGTGGTCTTACCGCACCCGGGAGGAGCAGACACAACAAGATTAACCACATCATTGGCAAGGAGTCTCTTCTTTAACTCCATCAATGGCCAATCCAATCCAACGAGAACCTTATCAAGCTTAGGAACAGAACAAAGATCCCTAAAAACAGGCACATGAACACTCAAATCATCCATTCTCTTACTTAAACCATCAACTTTATTCACAAGATCACCAGCCAAACCCAACAACGTCAATTGATTCCTATGTTGAAGAAGCTGTAAATCAATCTGACAAAACTTAAGCAAATCCTTATTGATTTCTTCAATTTTTCTTGTATATTTAGGTTTCTCATAAAACCTAACCCCTGGAAACTTCTGAACCAGTACACGAGCTCTCTCGATCGTATCGTTCAGTTCCTTTAGTTCCCCAGCACCAAAATCAAGCTCCTTTTGCTTCAAATCGATCTCTTCAGTTACCGGAAGCAACTTCATCATCGTCGATACTAGATCCTTTGACAAGGGTTTGAAAGCTTTGAACTTCTTCGCTTCTTCGATCACAAGTTTCAGACCCTCCGACACCAAAGCGCCTCCAACAGAACTTACTCCCAAATCGACCCAATCGGTCATTTTTTTTGTTTTTCTTCTTTCAAGTCCTTTAGCTCAGGAATCAAACGAAACAGAGAAAACCCAGAATCGAAAAACTCTCAGATTTTATCTGTAAAAATTAGCATGTTAAAGAATGGGATCTCTCTCAAGTATATGCTTCGCGAATGTGGAAAACGATAGTAGGTGGATTAGGAAGACGAAAAATCAAAAGATTTAAGCTTAATGGCAAAGCAATTCCGGCATCGTTGACTTTTCCGTCCATCGGAAAAGATTCGCCGTTCCTGCTTCTTCCCTTGCCGCGCAATTGCCTGGGAATCGCGTCTGCGTTTGCGTTTGGACTTTCTGCGTCAACACACACGTGCCGCACGTGGTTTCGTAGATAGAGCGGGTTTCGTCCTCTTTACGCGCGTGCGTACGTGTGAACCTTTTCTTATTTTTGGGCCACGATTCGAATCGGCCCACTTAAACGAGCTTAATATTTGATGGGCCCAGAAAACAAATGTGTATGCTTTTTTTTTTTGTCTACACAAAATGTGTATTTAAAATTATCGTAATATAAAATCATTAAAATTCAATGGCTCGTAATTTCATTTCGGAGCAGTAAGATCACCGGCCTTGATTGGTATGGCTTATAGTAAAGCAGTAGCATGAAATAGCATTAACGTTAGCAGCAGGAGCAGTATGTTCTGATTAATATATATAAGTAATTGGCAGAGTTCTGAATAAGTAGATATAAAATTAAATAAATGATTTCATTATATTTATTTATATGTATTCTAATACATTATATATATACTAGTCATAAGTTATAACAACATTTTTATTCAATTATTTTTTTATTAAATTATTATTTTATTATAATACTATTTAACAAATAGAAACATAAACTAATGTTAAATATTAAGTTTTAGTTTTGATATAAATATATTTATAAAATTATAACATAATTTTTAATAATATTTTCAAATTTAAATTATATTTAACTAAATTTTATTGTTTTATTTTGATATTATTTTAAAATAATAAATCTAATAAAATAATGATAAATATTAAATAAAATAAATAAAAGTTAATATAATTTATTTTTGATCTTATATATATAAAAGATTAGTTATTTAATATTTTTTTAAACATTTTTTAATAATAGCATAGATCAAAACTCAGAAAAAACTCTATTTAAAAGTATTGAGGGTAGGAGTATTTAGAGAGCATTAACATTTACTAAACGCTCTGTTTAATGCTTTGTCTATCAATCAAGTTTGTTTTGACGATAAAGAGTATGACTTTGCCGATCAAAGCCTAAAACATAGGCATGTGAGTGTCTATTATTGTGAGAGCTTCCACTGATGAAATTGATTTATGAGTAGTTGAATTTATTTCATTTGACCGAAAGAACAATACATAAAATAAAAGCAAAAAATTAGCTCGAGATCTTCACTGTCATTGATTGGAACCACCACCTTTGTGACTCCTTTTTTTTTCTTTCTCACTTAGAGCATCTCTATCTAAAATTCTAGAGATTTTCAAAAAAACTATATAAAACAAAATATAAATAAAATATGAGGAGTTTTCAAAAGAAGAGAAAAGTTCTCAAATGAGATACTTTATACACTATTTATCCTCTTTTGAAAACCTCTATAATATTTAACTATTATTTTGAGAACTTTTCTAATATTTTAGAATCCTTTGATGGAGGTGGTCTTACTTACGTGACCCTTAACTTCTCCTATCTAATTGCATTTTAATAGACCAAAGTCCTTTCATTTCTCAAAACCGAATATTGTGCGAAAGATTAATACATAAAAACCAAACAAAATTACTTATGTGACCTTTAACTTTTTATTTTACTGAAGATTGTGCGACCAATAGTATTCTGTAGTTTTTTTATAATTAATTAAATTATTTTTATTTTATATATTAAATAATTTTTTAATCTCCGCACTTTTATCCAAAATATCTAAATACACTTAAT